TATCTGGACAAACCAAAGCCTGGCTTGGCAAAATTACATTCTCCCTACATGAAATTACAGAAATTGAAGCTGAGAGCTACCCCTGAGATGTATATCTAGAATCAGCATTCAAATATCTCCTTACTGAATACATCACAATTACGTCAATCCAGAGAAATGATCAAAATTGACGAGAGACAAGCGATAGGTCTCTGTGGATTTTTAAACAAAAAAGGATTACTTTTGTACTATTGGTAAAAAGAAAAAAAAAAATCCTTTTTTTTTTTTAATAACCAAGGTTATATATTACAGGGTCACCAATTAATATTTGATGGAGTAGACAGTTGAGAAAGTAACTCTGAGGGAGGAAGGAAGAGGATCCCCCAAAAATCATTCAGGCTAATATTGGGTAGAAGTCACACATAAGAGGCAAGAAGCCCTTAACAGACAGACTAGCTGTCCACACTGGTTCGGTCCTAGAAATCTCTAGCACACTCTATGTCAAAGCCTGAGTGAAGTTTTACATGACACTCTCAGAGAGTGACAAAAAGAATGACTTACTCTGAAGGAAAGGTGTGGTATGAGGTGCCACACCATTTAGATCACCTTTCTTTACTACTGGCCTAGCACAAAAGGCTTTTCGGTCTGGAATTGTGGCTCTCTGAATGGCAAAACCAATGAAAAACATCTTGGTCATAATAGGTACTGTGGATCTTTCATGAAATAAGTCATCTGATATGCACAATGCTCTACCCCTTTAAGAACACTTGTTAATCATCCTGAATGACAAACTAAGAGTATATTACGTAGATTACAGCACTCTTAAAAAGATTTTTCCCAAACACGATTTAAATTAATTGATGAACATTCATTACTATGCTTTCAGGTCTGGTCCTGCACTGAATGGTCCCAGACATGCTAGCTGGGCTCTGATTTGTTTTTGTGTCTTGTAGATTATCTCTATTATCCTCACCAGGCTGTTATCTGTTTTTTCTTACAATAGACAGTAGGCTAACAGTTCCCCATCCTCTTACCCCATCCCCCACTACACTCCCCTTAACCTCCCACATTACCCACAATCTACTTGTTTCTAATCTACTCTGGGTTTAGAAGCCAGATAATTTTGCTTGTTGGAAATATTTGAAATAAACACCAACAGCTTCTGATTGAGAGTCTCCACGGCTCTCCCATGACTACGAGAGCTTTAAGGTATGGACTTGGACAATTTGGCTACCCTCAGCCTTTTGCGCTTAGTGTCTGGTTCTCAAATGCATTTAATAATATGCCAAGGATAAGAGTGTAGGCAAATCACCCAGATTAGAAAGAAAACTGAAAGCCAAAACTAGGAGAGAGGAAGAGAAGAGATCATCTGGGAGGACCCTTATGTCTGAGGCAATGTTCTAGGTACTTGAATTATGGTCACTTAATCCTTGCAACAACCTTAAGAGGTAGGTACGAATACCTCCATTTTCACTTAGAACACCAAGGCTCAGGAGTTCAGTAATTTGCCCAATACAGTAACTGAGAAACCGACTATTAACCTAGTCTCTGACTCCAAAACGCATGGCCTTTCCGCTACACGAGATTACGGCCCAATTCTTAATCCCGGTTTAGCTAACTGTTTTCACACTTTATTTCTGATTCTTTCATTGGAACCTGACTCAGATTTGCTTTCTTTCCCTAATCAGTTTCTCTAGTTAAAGGACAATGAATAATCAAACTAAGGCCAAATTAAGCTTAGCTCTACAAGTGTTCATCTGTTCGGCAAGAAACGCATTTCTGAAAGACTGGCCACATCTTTAATCTGTAGAGAGTGTGCAAAAATGGTGACAAGTTCCCTCCCAAAATACAGTGATCGTTCCCAGTGACACTGTCCTCTACATCTGACAGAAAGCAATGGAAGCACACTTTAGGAACTGGCTCAGTAATGTATTACCAGCTCCCTCAAGATACACACTAACATGATTTTCTTACTCTAAACATTGGAAGACAGGGCAGGAGAAATGAGGAGTCTCCACTTTTCTAATTCTATTAAGGAACGGGGGTATACTTGTTCCCTGTCACATATTTTATTGCCTAGTCCAGGGCCTCTCACAGCAAAGGCTTTTTGGATGAATAAATGCAACTTATTCAATAAATAGAAGTTATTTGTTGACTAAATGCATACCCTCTCCTGAATTGGTTTTGAAATCTTTACATTTCACATTTTCTAACATACCCTTGCAATACTTAGTGGAAAACATCTTTCCTCTTACAGAAACTAAGAGCTTAAAAATGGCTCCTCTACTCCCATCAAAAGACAAGGAATCTAAAAGACATGCCCTTCTCCATCCTCTAAAAATGACTCTTGTCCCAAGAATATGAATAAACCTCCATCTGCCAGACTGCACTAAATACAGCTTTTATATGCATTACAAAAACACCTGTATAAAAAAGCTGCTACAAAATGAGGCCTTTGGAATCCCAAAGTACAAAACCAACAGAATCAAAACCAAACAAGAATAAGGAGAGCTTTCAGACCTTTACAAAGCCAAAACTGAAAATATTTGCAAAATGTAAAAATTCAATAGGTCTTTCATCAGCAGGTTATGCAGCTAGAGTGTTCTTCACTCATGTGTTTTTCCCCATTGTGAAGTAACAAGATTATAGCAACACGATTCCAGTATTTACAATATGAAAATGAAAAGGGGACCTTTTGCCATCTTGAAGCAGAAACAACCTTTGTTCCTATTAAAGGGAATTTCTGCTGAAATATACAAAACCATCCCCAAATTCTTAAGAGTTAAAACACATACCAAGCCTGACAAGCCACAAACAACAGGAAATTGCCCTGTACAGTTTCTTACAAGACTATTATTTCATGAACCTTACAGATTGTGTCGAGATTTAACCACTTAGAGTAAGTACAGGTAAGTTACAACCCTGAAAAACCAAACTTTTGTTTAACACCTATAACCCGAAATCACTTTGGAAGACATAGCTACAAAGTATAAAAACCAAGCTCTAAGAGCAATTCCTTACTAAAGCCCAGAAATAGATGTTTCCAATCATATTACATTAATTAACATTGGTCAATGACCTACTTTAAACTCAATTAATTTTGACATTAAGAGTATAAGGGGGCACTTACCTTACAAATGCCCACAGACTTGAACTATTCTTATTTACCACCACAACTAACTTTATGGCAAAAATTAAAGAACTTTAAAAATAAAATCAGCGTTACTGAGTTTAATATAAATGTCTGCTAAATGACCTTTTGGTGGAGAAAATTCTATCAATATCCTGTATGGTTTTTTTTTTTTTAAAGCAAGTGAAAAAAATCCTCAAACTACGATACATTTATGAAATCTATTTTACGTTATTTCTCCCAGCTCTGTTATATCTGCTTCACTTATTTATTCCCGCTAAAAATCCTCAAATTTCATCCAACTATTTGACTTAAACTTCTACGTAAAGAAAATTTTTTTAAAAGGGGGTCAAAACTAGAATAATAGCAAATGTACTTTCAGGGTACTAACAGCAAATTTATCATCTTTTTAGTCTCAAGAAAAATATCCTTACAATCTGTAGTACAGGTTCAACGCAAATGAAATCAGAAGAGAGAAACTGAAAAGGAACTAAGATTACACAACCACTCAGAATTCTGGAAATTAATTCAAATTTCAGGGACCATTTTTAGAAAGATGGAATCACTCCAAATAAGTTTGCGAGATCATTTCTTTATTCATTAACAATTACTTGACATGTGTGGTTTTAAAAGTTTACAACACCAAAATTTAGCATACTCCAAACTGTAACAAATAAGACACGGCTGACAGAAAACGCTACTCCCAAATGCGTTTCACCTGAAGATGTTTTCTTAAATAAAGGCTTGGTTCACAACAAACCGGTAGTATTTCGCTTTTACAGGGTCAAGAGGAAGGAATAACCAAACCAACCTAGGTATGTTTTTCTTTTGTTTAGGATCAAAAGGAAACCACAACCGCATACGGGTTAAGTAAGTAAAACACAAAAATACCCAACCCCAGGACAGCATCCCCCAGGAGAGAACTATTAAAGTTGCAAATTTGAAAAGCAAGTCTGAGATACGTGAAATCCATTAGCGTGCTTTCCAAAGGCGTGTGATAAAAACTAATAGGCTCCACTCACGGAGCAACTTTCACAAGTGAGCAGAGAAGACTCCCGACCGAGCACCAGCCGTTGTGCGTGTCTGTGCAGAGCACACACGAGCAATCGGGACCCCGAGACTACACGGTTAACAAAGGTTACACGACCAGGAAAAAAAAACAAAAGTGGAAGCAAAGTATCGCACGGGGCTAACACGGCTCCCCAACAACTCCTGAAACAAGAGCTCCGTCCCTCCGGCTCTGGAAATCACAACCACCAACTACCAAGCGCGTCGGCCGCGGAGGGAAAGGGCCCCCGCCCCGGGCCGGCCGGCCGGGCAGCTCTGGCCGCCGACCCCTTCCTCCGACCCGCCGCTCCGCGCCCCGGGGCCGGGCTCCCGCTGCCCCGACCTCGCCACACCCCAGCCCCCAGCCCGGGGCCATGTGACGCGGCGACCGAGCCCAACACAAACACGCCCCGGGGCCCGCCGGGCGCCCGGCTTTACCTGGACCGCGGCTCCGGGGCCCGCCCCGTCAGAGCCGGGGGTCCGGGACCTTTTGTTCCTTCCTCTTCCGAATGGGATGAGGGGCTGGGAGGGGACAGGGGAATGGGCGATGGGAGGCGGAACTGAAAACACTCTCGCGGCCGCCCGGCCGCCCCGCCCCCCAGCCAGGGCCCGGCCGGCCGCCCCGGCGCGCGGGGAGGGGGCGCGGGCCCGGCCGCCGCCCGCGGGAAGGAGGGGGTGGGGACGCGCGTCCCGCCGCCGCCGCCCCTCCTCCCCTCGGGCGCGCGCCCGCACCCCCACCTCCCGGGCCGCCCGGACGCCGGGCCGCCCCCGCCGCGCCCGCCGGCCCACCTCCGCTTCCGCCCTGCGCCCTCCGCCGCCCGCCACAGCGGCGCGGCGCACCCACCTCCGGGCGCCTCGCTCGGCGCTCGCTGGCTGCTGGCTGGGAGCTGCTCCTCCGCCGCCGCGGCCGCGCGGTAGACCCGCCTCCCACCCCGGGCCGCGAGCCCAGCCGATTCGCCGGCGCAGCCCCGGGGCTGGCACCCTGCCGCCTGCTGATTGGCGCCCCCGGCCGCCCGTTAGGGCGCGAGGCACGCCGGCCGAGCGCAGCGCTCGGCACTCACGGAAGACGGGGCGAGCGGAGGAGGGAAGGAAAGAGGCCGAGCGCCCGGGAAGGGCCAGGGCGCGAGCGAGGCTAGGAGAGTGGCGGGCCAGTACCTCCCCACCTCCTTTCCCTTCGGCCCGCCCCGCCCTCCCGCCGGACCGGCGGCGCGCGCAGCCAATCAGCGCGCGGGGTGCTCGGGGTGTGAGCCGCGCGTCGAGGGCCTCGAATCGGAAGGGAGACGTCGCTCGCTGATTGGTCCCGCCTCCCCCGTAGAGCGTGAGGCGAGGCGCAGCCGGGCGGGCGGCCCGGCGGCCGAAGACGAGGCGGGGTGGGACGCCCGCGGTTTCGGTTGACTTCGTCTCCGGCGCGCTCCACCAGAGGCTCTGGGAAGGGAGGGGAAGGCACGTAACCTGCCGCGCTGGCGACCGGCCGTCCCTCGTTGCCTCGGCCCCGGGCCCCCTCCCCGGTCAGCGCCGTTGGGTGGGGCCTGTTGGGGGCCGCCGCCTGGTCCACCTTCCGCAGTCCAGCCCGGCGTGAACACGTGCTCATCCCCTGGGGAGGCCCGGGGGCCGCCCGGAGGACTGGACGAGCCGGGGTACCCGACCCACCCTGGGCGCGCCCGTCTGCGAATGAGTGGGCGGGGCCTTGGTGGTGGTAAATGGGGGCGAGGTCCGAGAAGTAAATAAGCCCAGGGCGGGGATCTCTTACGGGTATTAGGGCCAGGGGAGGGGATGCCAGGTATTTTTGTTTAAGCGGAATCTTGGTTCTATCAAATGGTGTTAATAATGCATGCTCTGATGGTCCTTGCGAAGTCTAAAAGATAAGCGCCTGGCACGATGCCCCGTGATTGCTGGGTTATCTTCCCTTCCCCTTCATTTCTCCACTGTTCTGGCGGTGTTCTTAGGCCCCGGCGTCCCACGTCTGCGCTCCAAGGCCCTAATCTGCTGGCTGCCCGAAGTTGGTGGGGGCGTGATTACACTCGGGTAACCTTGTCGCTTTTACCTTACCGGCACCCAAGCCTCTGCTGAAATATTGAACTCAAGTGATCACATCACGTATTTATTAAGCACCTCCTATGTTATTCAAGGAGCATCATAGAACTGAAGTGGAAAAGAAACTTAGGTCGCACCCAGGTAGTTGGTGGCAGAGGCAAGACTAGAACACAGTTTCCTTGGCTCCCTGGCCAGCACTCACTCTCGTGTACTCCTTACTGCATGGATTTATTTGGGGACTCAAGATGAACAAGTGAGAAGGCTGCACTAGCAATACAAACCAGTGAGCAGGAAGTACCAAATGACCATTTCGAACAGTAAGAGTTCTTGAAATATCCTCTTTCTTTTCAGAAAGGAAGGCCTCCCCGAGAACGGTGCCTTCAGATGGACCTGGAGAGAGACGGATTTAGCCATCCTCTGAGTCTTACGGGTTTTCCAGATTTCCTTTCAACATCTCTCATTTCCAGCCGTCTCTCAAACATGGAAGTACGTTTCTCATCGAAAGGTGGTGATGAAGCGTGAACCCTGCAGTTAGGCAGATTGTGTAGTTTTGAGTGCAGCTCTGTTCCGAATCTGTGGGCATTGGCAAATGGAACTCACCTGTAATGATAGCCGCTTAAATACAGTTGTGTGATGATTAAGTAATAAATAAGTGAATAGCACAGGGCTTTGAAGTTAAAATCAATAATCGTGATCCTTTCTTGCCTTCTGTTGCCTGTGTACATTTACGCTAACATGAACCTACTGGGCAGAAATTCTTCCTTCAAGAGTTGACCTCCAAGGTAATTTCTTCCATTGTCAGCTTAGAAGCAGCTCCACTCACCGCTTTTTAAAAATAGCTTGTGAAGGAGACCCAGGAAGCCAATTGGTGGAGCTGTTACACCTCCCAAGGCTTCTGTTTCCACTTCCCAGAGTCACCAGGAGGATGGTCTAAGGCAAAGGCTGTTTGATTTAGAAGTAGGAAGGCTGTTTTTGGTTTTTGCTCCTTCTTCCTGCTAACACAAGTCAACAGTTTTAATATGAAATGGCCTATAAAAAACTACCCTGGGTCACAAAAATATTTTCTCCTACGTGACCAGGGTGTGCAGTTGGGTGTCCATGTGGGTGAGTGGGAATAGAAACTGAAGCAGAGCTAGCTGGAATTCCAGAAGAATCTGCTCCCCAGTATGGGAGTTAGGTGCTTTGAGGGATACACTAATGTGGTGGATAATATGCTTAAGTCTAAGTTAGACCATCTCTCCAAAGTGTCAGACTTTGAGTCCCTAACCCTTCCATTTAGAAGCCTTCCGGGATCTGTAGGATTGAGGAAAGGGGAGGAGGGCTCCCAGTGCCGTCCCCAAAGGGCTTAGGAACCAGAGCGTGCCTACCGTGGAAATGCATCTGAACCAAAGTGGGTCAAGACAGAAACTGACGGCAGATGGAGCATGGATTGCCGTGGCAACAATCAACTTGGAAATCCACTAAGGTACCTCAAGACCTATCAGTCAGTCCCTATTGTATAAATTATATTGAGTGAGTCTTATTTTTATGTGGAGAGACACCAAGTTTAACCCTGCATTACGTGTAACACTGCAAAATCAATTAAATCAAAGCCAATTCAGAACCCATTTAAAAGTAGTGAAATGTACTGGAAAGCGTACGAAAGATGATAACAGAGGTTGCTTCTGGACAAAGAACCCTGGAGTCATGAGTGGAAAACTTAAATTTCATCATTAATTCTTATGTAGTTTTAATTTTTTTTAAAAATATATCCATGTATTAATTTTTCAAAAGTTGCAGCTCATGTTCCCTCTCCTTTCTGATAAATCTGTAAAGCCCTTCCCAGTTACCCCAGCCCAAAGGATATCACTCACCTATGAATTTTCTCTCATGGTCAGAGTGATTTACATACCATGACTTCACTTTGATTAGTGTCTTGATCTGTTAGTTTAGTCTTCAGCATTTTTTTTTTAACTTTTCATGTGTACATGTTTTGTCTCCTCATTGAGATTGTAAATTCCTGAAGGACAAGGACAGCATCTTGTTCTCAGTCGTCTCCCCACACCCTAAGATAAAAAATACTAAGTAATTGAAGAAAGGTGAAATAGAGCATTTGTATAGCAGAAAAATATGTGTATCTTAGGTCTGCAAGCATTCTACCCTGCTCTGCCCCATCCTTCCAGTTTGTGTTTGCCCTCAGTACAGCTGTGGAGCATCTTGTCAACATCCAGTCTCTATAGTTGCTCATCCTGGTGGAACTAAGTTGCCGTGAGCATTACTACATCTGAAAAATCCAGTTATTTGCAACTGAAAAGATACTGTTTAAATGAGATAACCTAGGTAAAAATTGTAAAGAACAAATGTGTGGGGTTATTTTTGTTGTAAATGATAATGAAGAAATCCAACACCTGCTGGGTTTTTATCTCACTACAATGAAATTTCACGTTTTAAAGGAACTTTACATTGAAGATGTGTACACCTTGCATCTACACACGCACAAAGTCCTTATTCACAGGCTGGTTTTTATTAAAAATCATTTAACATCTGATGGGAAATACTGGAGACAAGAATAAAGTATGCACAAGAAAAAAGAAGTGTCCAGGTGTTTATCAGGTATCTGTTATGTGCCTGTCATAAAAGCATTAGTTGATCATGGTGGAAAATTCTTATGGCCAAAATTACTTAGGAAAACAAGACATACAAGTAGGGTTTTTTAGATTTAAAGAGAGAAGGAGATTGAGAGAGAAGTGGGCTGTGGTTGAGAGAAAAATATTTGGTGAAAACAAGTTATATTTCTCATGATTCTCCAGGCATCTGATAATTAATATTATATTGCTTGTCCATACATTTAAAGACATAAATAATCAGTGGATCAATTGATTATTAGATAGCTAATCCAATGATTGTTCAAATATTACTTGGAAAATTGCAAGACAATTTCAGAGTACTCCCATAAAGCCATTTAAACATTATCTGACATCTACATATTTTGCAAAAGAACTAAACAGGGGCCAATGTCTAAACCCTGAAAGAACAACGTAGAAGTTGTTTAAAGTTCTCATGTAAGGGGAGATAATTTGTTAGTCATCTGTCAACAATAGGGCCTTATGCCTTGATTGTAATTGTCTGTGTGTGACAATATTGACTGGACCAGGGTGCTCCTAGGCAGGGTAAGTGTATGAAGGTATAATACTCTGGGAACATTTCAAGCGTATTAGCATAATTGCTCTGATGAAGACTGAAGAGCTTATTTAACATAACTGACTAGAGTAGACAATAGATGCATAATCAGTGTCCTAATGATTGAATTAATGAGCCCCAATTGTTTGTCCTTACCATAAACAGTCCTCAGCTATGAAAAAGACATTTTGCTGAAGGAGTCTGTCAATTGTGTTAGCTGACGAGTGGCCAGAATGTAATGAATGGTGGGTGAGAGCCAATTCCTATTGGGTCCTAAAGCCCTTAATGGTGGATTTCAAGAAATAAATTATATAGCTATGTAGAAATTTCATATCTGCTCCTCCTTCCCTGCATACAATCCTGGATCCTGATCAGTGCTCTTATTTTGTAGCTAAGGAAACCGAGGCCCAGGTTTCTCCAAAGTCCTATGGCCACTTAGTGCCAGGGATTATAAACCTAGTGTCTACCTTTTCTGCTCTGACTGCCCACTGCTCTTCCACCTGTCCCTAGTTTGCACCCTCACCCCTGCCTTTGGTACTCTCGTCAATCTCCCTGTTCTGTTATTTTGTACGCATGTGTCCTGACCAACTATTTCACAGTGAAAATGGGGCAAATTTCCTATCAACACCTAAACCCCCAACACTACACAAACATGTCTGTCTCCAGATCTGTCCTTCCAGCCTCTTCCTGGGAAAGATCTCCTCCTCCTTCGGGAGAAAGCTTTTTCTTGTACCTATTCTCTGTTCTTTTGACCACTCAGTCTAGATTAGCCGCCCCCCACACACCAGTCACACTATCATATCACCTTTTAAAATTTTTCTTCAAAACTCTTAGCACTATATGGAATCACCATGCCCATTTATTTCTTTACTGATTTACCATTTGTCACCTCTCCCCGCTGAATGTAAGTTCTACAAGGCAGGAAACAGGTCTGTTTTGTTCACCATGGTATCCCTAGTTCATACCTACATGAGGCACTCAATATTTTTGAATGGATGGATAAGTTTTACTCAAGTTCACTCAAATTCATCATCTCTTTCTATTTTCTTACCTGGATGTGTCTTAGCCCGGTTCCCCAGAAAACAGAGCCTGATACAAGATTAAGTGCTGATGCTTTATTTAGGAGGTATTATCCCAGGACAGCAACAGTGAGGGAAAAGGCAAGGAAGAATGGGGAGCAATGCATACTGATGGATTTCTGTGCTAAACACTACTTCAGGATAACCTTGAAGAGAGACAGCCAGTCTCTGGACAGGTGCGAACATTTGGCCATACAGGACATCTCCAGACAGACATTATGGAGAAATCATGCCTTGGAACAATCTGAGGGAGGGAGGAGTTTTATCTTCAAGTTTCCTGTCTCCTGTTGGTCAAAGCTCATCCTACAGGGAGCTAACTTTCCCATACTTCCCAGTTGTATTATCCATGTTCTGTAATAGCCATTCGGAAGCCAGGTACCCTGCCCTGGAGAAGTGGTGGGGGGAAACTGTGGGTATGTGGCTGGTCAGCCTCGGACAATCAAACCATAAGGGACTTAATTAACTAAGTTGCTCATGGTGGCAGCTGATGCAGAGCAAGAGGCCCAGAAAATCTGAGAAGACACGTAACAGAGCCTGATAAGGGTAATTGTTACCACCACAACAGTAGGACCAGGTTTGTTTACTCACTGCATTGTACCCAGGACCTCATACAATAAGTGCTAATTAAACTTTTGTTGAATGCGTGAATGCGTGCATAAATAGCATCATCATCTATTGACTTATTTAAGCTGAAACCTTGGAGTCATCTGTGATCTTCCTTGATGCCTATATATCAAAATTCAGACGAAATTCCTCTTAGCTCTACCTCCTTAATATAGCTCAGATCCAATGCCTCCTCTCCAAGCTCACTGCCTTGATTCAGACCTTCATCATCTTTCATTGGAATTATTGCTATAGCTCCTTAACTGGTCTTCCTGTCTCTGGTCTTGCTCCCCTCCAATCCATTCTTCTCCCTGCTGCCAGAATTTTCCTTTTTTTTTCTTTTCCTTTTTTTTTTTTCACTAAGGAAGATTCGCCCTGAGCTAACATTGGTCGCCAGTCTTCCTCTTTTTTTTTTGCTTGACGGAGATTATCTCTGAGCTAACGTCTGTGCCAATCTTCCTCTCTTTTGTATGTGGGTTACTGCCACAGCATGGCTGACAAGTGGTGTGGGTCTGTGCCTGGGATCCAAACCTGCAAACCCAGGCCGCTAAAGCAAAGCATGCCGAACTTAACTGCTACTCCGCAGGGCCAGTCCCAGACTTTTCTTTTTCTTTAGCATATTTTCTAAATGCAAATACGCTAATATCACTATCTTGATTAAATTGATAGTTTTCCTTTTTCTTCCTTTTTCAGGATAGAATAAGGACTCTTTAGCATAACCTTCATCCTTCAAAATCTGTCCCAGGCTAGTCTGTTTAGCTTAACACCTCACCACTCCTCACCTTGCTCATTATACCCCAGCCAGACTAAATTCCTCACAGTTTTCCCAGTGCACCATGCTTTC